CAGGTGGTGATAGAGAGCATCATTAGAATTTGACATGAAAACACAAATGCAAAATGACAATACAGATGATTCAGACGGTGAAGAAGTTACAAGTACATTATGGAAGGTGATTATCGTGATATATCTACAATTCACCAATTTCTTATACCCAAACTTGTCATGAACAAAGTTCTCAGTTATGAAACCCCTATAATATACTTGTGGATCTCAGATGACGGAAGAAATGTCAGCAAGAGAATAAAGCATGTGATGGTGACATTAGCAGTTCTAAATGATTAAAAAAATATTTTGAAACCTGAAAACCATTACACAAATTTTCTGTTTTCTGGAACAGAAAATTATGCTTATCTTAAGATTGCATTGGAACCAATTCACTGCGAATTGCATGAACCGTGTAAACATAGCTTTACTGAATGTTTTAGCAATTATTTGATTAAATTTGATAAAACTTTTTTTTATTTACCTTATTATTATTTTAAGATATGCATGGTCAAAAAAAGTTATCAAAAGTAGCAAATTTATAGTTGACTACTAATTTAATTACAGTATTTGTTCGTACAACGTAATTTTTTTTACTAATTCAAACCATATGATTCATTTATTTGGTATACAGATTTTTTTTTTGTAGTATCTTATATCGAAAGTATATCCCCTTTATTGTGTACTCCCTACTCAAAATACCCGAGTACTTTTTGTATAGCATTTTTTTTAACCGAAGATAATACCCGGGTATTTTCATGGCATTTTTCATATTAACACATATTGATTTCTGCATTACATATATAAGACCCCTCATACAAGATACCCGTCACCGATCAAGATACCACGAGTACTTATAAGTTTTTTTGAGTTAGATTGTATTGGGCTTCTGGTACTTTGGTCAGTGCACTACGGTATTTTGATTCTTCATAAACTAATTATCATGATGAACACTCATTCCTTTGAATTTAAAAACATTAATTTAACACATTACTTTACAAGAATAGATGCAGAAGATTTACCGGTTCAGGTGTTGTCCTGTTTCAAGGCGCATTTAGATAGTATGCATATTTTCTCAGTTTTTGCTTATGATATTTTTTCTTCTATAGTGGAAATGGAGTGAAATCTGGATCAATAGTCTTTTGACTTGGACCAGTAATATCAAAAGAATGAAAAAAGTAGCTAATAGTATGATACTAGAATTTATGATTATATATCTGTAAATATCAATTTTAACTCATTTTTTGTTCTCATACAAAGCTAAAAAGGATGAACACAAACTATTTGTTTATTATAAAAAGTCTACTGGCATGAGAAATTCTAATGGAACGTTTTAAGTCAGTATTTGTTATTGAAATAAATCCATGATTAAAAAAGATGAAAATAAAACAATTATTTATTTTCAAAAATTCTTTGAGATAGGTTATGCTTTTAGGACGAATATAGTTGATCATTATGGGTTTAGAGTTGAACAAGATGAGTGTTATTGGGGTAAAGTTCGATTTCTGGTTAGATAAAGATACAAAACTATGGAAATTTACTTCTTTAATGGGCCCAGACAAATTGAAAGTCATAGAAAAATTTAATATTAATATAATATTACCAACAACATGTGCCATGAAGGTTCAAAAACTCTGGTTAGGATTTTACAAACTTTATAATATGCTAAGTCAAGATGGATTAATGGGAAATCAATTTTGCAACAAAGCCCATGAATGGTTAAATATGTTCTTAGTATCTTCACGAATTATTCCTGGCACTAGCATAATGGATAAAGGACTATATACCCAAGTGATATAACACACTATATGCACGTTCTAATATACCATGTTCCTGAATTTCTTGAAATTCATTTACGATGGGGGCTTGGTGCGTTTTCTTGTCAACCTATTGAAAAAAAAATCACTAGCACGTATCAACTTTTTTCACAAAGACGCTAAAAGATGGTGGTAATAAGTATTTGCAAAAATCAGCTATACTAGAAATATTAGAAGTAGAAAATAGAGCACTATATTTTTGGAGATTTGATGATGTATTAGAATTGCCTAAATATAAAAAACTCTATATTACTAGTTCTAACAGAAATGATAGAAATCGAAGAATTGAACAATCTTTTTAAAATTAGATGTTATCACAATAAAAATGCATAATCGCAACTGGTTAAATGAGCTATTTAGATAAATATAATAGACAGTATTTTAGAAACCTTTCTTGCTATATTTTATATTACAAAACAAGTATAGTTTCCAATTTAATATTAGGTTCCAATATTTAGTTTTTTGTAGAGTCACAAACTCTAAAATCTAAAGTAGAATGGGAACTTAAGCTAGCAATATTATATAATATAATTTCTGATCTTGGACGCATTCATTCTAAAGGATTTGTATATAGAGATTTGTGTCCAGGAAATATTTTAATAAATGATAATTCTAAAGCTTATGTTGCAGACTTAGGTTTAACAATATCATTTGATAAAAAACAGAAGAGTAAAATATACGGAGTCATGCCTTATATTGTGCTAGAAGTTTTACAAAAAAGCCAATTATACAAGCTTTTAATAATTACAGTTTTGGAGTTATAATGGTAGAATTAATAACTAGACTGACCTTTGATGGTGAATCATTTAATGATAAACTTGCACTAAGAATTTGGTTTGAATTGCGGCCCAAATTTGTACCTGAAACTTTGGATTGCTATAGATTCTGATCCAAAAAATGTTTCACTATTAATGATAAACTTGCACTAAGAATTTGGAATTGCAGCCAAAATTTGCATCTGAGACTCTGGATTGCTATGGATTCTGATCTAAAAAATATCTTACTATTAATAAAATTCAGAATAAGCTTAGAGAATAGGTTTATCATATTAATGAATTTGACGCATTTGACATTAAGAATGTTAAAAAGCAATTCTTGAAGGCTGATAAATTAAAGAATTGCTAACTATTGCGCAAAAATACTCTAATAATATATACACCTCAACATTTATTAATACGTATAGAATTTCTAAGATAGTTGGGTTAATAATGGTTAGTAACTAGTAAAGTATAGAGATTTCATTTTAATAATTTTTTAAAGACAAATATAATTGGTATTATGAATAATGTATCGCTTGTTTATTAATATATCACTATATTATCAAGAATTTACAGATCGTGGTAATTGAAATTTAAACAGGTTTTTGTTTATTATATGTAAAGGTATTTGGATGTTTGAATACATATATAGGAGGCACGGTGTATTGTTAAAAATAATTAATTACAAATTAATAAAATAATGTTAAACATATAAAGCT